CAGCCCGGCCCGCTCCCCGGGGTCTCCTCCCTCTGCTGGCTCTCTCCACTTGGCTCCATGCCAGGGCAAGTTCCACGCTCTGAAGATGAAGAAAAACAAGTTGTTTTAACATTCGAGACACTTGGTACCGGAGGGCAGAGAGCGGACATGGGAATCGCGTGCGACACAACATGCTGCCACCCTCCGCGGGGGGACACTCCCTCCCCCGCTGCCCACGGCACCTCCACCCGCGGGGCAACGCAGGACTCAAATGTCCCCCTTCGGGGCCTTGTCCATGTTGCGCGCACCCACCCGCACTGTGGACCACGAGGCGTGTTTGTCATTCCCACTTGACTTTCCTTGGTGTTGATGACTGACCCATGACTTCATTAAAAAAAAAATCTCTCCTTATGTCTCTCAGCTCTGACCCATGTACAACCATGGCGACAGGGCGTCTCCCAGTTTCCAAGCCGCCTCCTGAGCGCTGACCTGGGCTGCGCCCAGGAGTGCCACGCAGGTGCCCTGACCTCCCCCTGGTCCTGGGAATCCCCGAGGCTCCATGTTGGACACCTTGGTTTCTGGATCCCAGGTCTCCTCTTCGGTTATTCTCTCTTGGGGAACATTTCCTAGGAAAAGGTGGGTGGCCGGTAACCTTTTTAGGATTCCTCACATCTGAAAGCCTTTATTCCTTGGCCCCTAAAACATGGGTCACGTTTCCTTGGTCAGACATTTCCCTCCGATTCTGAAGGAAGGCACTGCTGCGCTGTGTCTGCCTCCCAGAAGGAATGTCCTTTCTTCACCATCTGAATACCAACCCCTTTCACCTACAATGTAGGTCCTACATGTTCTTCCTGGAGGATTTAGGTTCTTTTTCTTTCCATCTGGTTGTCCTGAAACTTCATAAAGTTTTTTGTTCTTTGTGTTGGGTACTTGGTGGGACTTTCTTTTTAATTTTTATTTATTTACTTTTAAATATATATGTTGATTTCAAAGAAGAAAGGTGGGAGAGAGAGAGAGAAACATCAATGAGAATCAAGGATCGGCTGACTCCTCCACGCCCCCTAATGGGGATCGAGCTCACAACTCGGGCATGTGCCCTGGACCAGAATCGAACCCGGGATCTTTTGGTCCGCAGGCTGATGCTCTATCCACTGAGCCTCACGGGCTAGGGCATTGGTAGGACTTTCGATCAGAAACTCACAACCTCAATTCTGGGAAATGTCCTTGCATTATTTCTTTGATGGCTGTCCCTGCCCCTTCCGTTCTCCCTTTAGAATGCCCGCAGTAGGATCTTGGGCCCCATGGACTGATCACCTCAACCTTTTCTGTCATCTCTTTGATTTTGGATCAGCTTTTTGGGGCACTGCCTCAATTTCACCCTTTAATTCTTCTAATTAATTTTTGATATTGGCTATTGGCTATCATACTTCTAAATTTCTATAGATGTTTAATTCTCTGAATGCTTCTTAAAAAAAACCCCCAGCATCTTCCCCTAGCCAGTTTTGCTCAGTGGATAGAGCATCGGCCTGCAGACTGAAGGGTCCTGGGTTCTATTCTGGTCAAGGGCACATGCCCGGGGTGTGGGCTTGATACCCAGTATGGGGCGTGCAGGAGGCAGCCGATCGATGATTCTCTCTCATTATTGATGTTTCTCTCTGTCCCTCCCTCCCTCTCTGAAGTCAATAAAAATTAAAACAACAACAACAACAAAACAGCATCCTGCCTGGCCGGGTGGCTCAGTTGGTTGAGCATCGTCCTGTGCACCAAAAGGTCACCAGTGGGATTCCAGGTCAGGGCACATGCCCGGCTTGTGGGCTTGGTTCCCAGTAGGGGGCGTGCAGGAGGCAGCTGATGGATGTTTCGCTATCTCTCCCTCTCCCTTCCTCTCTCTCTAAAATAAATAAAAATATTAAAAAAATAAAATTTTCTTTTTGCTTTCATTTATACAATATTTCCTCTAATCTTTGTGATAATATTCATTTTTAAAAAGTTTTCGTCTGTTCTCTACATTTTGTTTCCTCTGAGTTTCTCTTGGCTTGTCTGACTTTGTCTCCATCTTTTCTATTTGAGGTTTTCTTAAATGAGACAACAAGAGCCCCGTGGTTCAAGGCGAGCCTTCCCCAGGAGTCGGCCTCAATGTGGGGCAAAGTGGGGGGGCCATTCATTGGGAGGCCCTTACCGTGATTTCTGGAGGTTTTATCTCCTAGACTAGTAGCTCATTTCCCAGAGAGGGAAAAAAGAGATTTAGCTGCCACACGTTTAAATGCGAAACGCAGAAAGTAGGCTAAAGGTCTCACCACTCAGTCTATAAGATTTTCATTAAATCCTCATTTTCTACATAATAGCCCTTCCTGGAGCTGCGCCTGACCCCTGAGCCCACAGCTCCTCTGTCATGTTCTCCAACAAGTAGCCCTGCAGCCTCCGCTTAGCAGAGGGAACACAAAGGTCTCAGCGCTTCTTGACTCGCCTTTCAGCCCAACCTCCTGTTTTTAGTCCAACCCTATGTCCTTGACTTTATTTTTTATGTATTTTTATTAATCTCAGAGAAGGGAGAGGGAGAGAGACAGAGAAACATCAATGAGAGAGAATCCTTGATTGGCTGCCTCCTGCACATCCTCTACTGGGGATTGAGCCCACAACCCGGGCATGTGCCCTTGGCCAGAATCGAACCTGGGGCCCTTCAGTCCCTAGGCCGGCGCTCTATCCACTGAGCCAGACTCTAGGGCCTTATATCCTGGTCTTCAGAGGTACCCTCAGTGCTTCCAATCCTAACCTTTCCAGACAGGAACCAGCATTTTCTCTGTAGACACAGCTTTCTCTGGTGCTTAGCCAGCTGCCACCCATCCATCTACTCTCCAGCTCCCAGTTTTCCTGGATGTCACATCTGCTGCTATGTCCTTGCCAGTTTGTCCTGCGGTTTCTCTTTTAAGAATCCCTGTCTGATGTTTTAATGGTGTTCCAGGAAAAGGGGGGGGGGGGGGACAACGTGTTTGATCCACATGTTTGACCCAAAATATTTTCTGTAAGTATGTTAAAATATAAAACTTATTCTTGTTAATGCTTCTGTTAACATTAACATGAATTTCTGTTAATTGGCACTTCTGAACCCAAAAATCTAGTGAGTTCAGTTTGCTACCCCCACTCCATTGCACTAACTTCACATTCACTAAAAACCAAACACACAAAAAGCCTACTCTGATGAATAAAAATGGAGTAAGAGCTGAGTGCACAGCAGATACTTCATAAACAATGAGTTAAAGAGATAGCTCTAAAATGAGAAGTCAGACTTAACCTAAGTTCCTACACATGCTCTGTACATGCCTTTAAGTTATTCTTTCATAGCCTATTCCCCCATGTTCTCTTTAGGGACCTCCCCCCTCCAAATATTTCATGGTATGGGACCTAAAGCATTTATGAATTAACACTTATGTCTTATACTTTCTGAAGATCTCATTAATTAACATGCATGAACATTTGAGTGGTATCAGGCTTGAAAAAGAGAATTTTCACAGTAAATATTTTAGAGTAAAACACATACTTAAACTAAGTCGGAAATGTTGATAATAGTATAAATTAGTATATCTTCTACAGAAGTTAATTAAAAATTAAAAATGTATATGCCCAGTCATCAGGGGAAAGCAAGTGAAAACCACAATGACATAATTTCATATCTGCTAAAATGACTGCAATATAAAAGACTGACAACATTCAATGTCAGCAAGGATGTGCAGCAGCTGAAATTCTCATATAATGCGTGGTGGGTACAAAATGGCACAACCGCACTAAGACACTGCCTGGCAATTTCTTATAAAGTTACACAGGCACCTTCCCGGTGACCCAGCAATTTCAGCCTCAGTTATTTACCTAGAGAAAAAAAGCATACATCCACAGAGTGACATCCTAGCAGTTTTATTCATAACATCCCCAGACTAGAAAGAATCCAAATGTCTATCAACAAGTGAATGGATAAACAAATTGTGGTATAGTAAAAAAAGAAAAAAATGCTGCCCAGCAACGAAAATGAACTAATGATGCATACAATAATATGGGTGACTATCCAAAACATACGCTGAGCAATCCTATTTATATGACATTCCAAAACAGGGAAAACTCATCTATGACAGAAAAGTACAGGCTGCCTGGCACTGGAGGTGGGAGGGACTGGCTATAGAGGGGAAACATGTATGTTCTTATCGTCCCTGGGGTAGTGGTCACATGAGTGCACACATTTGTCAAAACTCATCAAATTACACACTTAAAACAGGTACATTTACTGCATGGAAAATGTATGTCAATAAAGTTGATTAAAAAAATGGGAAGGGAATGATAAATGTAAAGTTCAGGATTTCTCCAAATCCTCAGGGTTGACAATAATTTAGTCCTTAATTGGGTATTAGGTTCATAGGCCTTCACTTTGTTATCATTTCTTATAATGTAGGTAACATTATTTCTACATATAAAATATGACTAAAAATCAATAAAAACGTAAGTTAATAAAAATGATGGACCACAGGGTCAGAAAACTGTTTTGGCTTTGGGTTCTAATTAGTTCTGTTCTTGCATAAGTCACTTCACTTCCTCGAATTTCTTCAAATGATTCAGCAGACCTTATATTGATTGTTAAGAGGAACAGATGAAATAATATACATAAAAGTATTTTGAAAATATAAAATACTATGCAAATTACTTGAAGACTTTACTAATGGGAGATTAATTAGAAAAGTGGCAATGAGTGATACGTAGAGAACACTGACAGAACACTGCTATCAGGGGGTAGTGACAGCATGTGGAGGAGGAAGAGAACTATGAGAGCAGTGAGAACACGCTGACTTCTTACTGTGGCCCTGGTACTGTTCTAAACTCTTAACCCTACGTTAGTCAACATAAAAGGGAAGAGAAACCGCCTGAAGAAACAGTCTTTAACCACCGCACAAAAAAACCCAGCAAGTTACCTATTACAGAAGAAGGAATGCAGAGAGAAAGAAAAGGAAAGAGGAAAGTCTAGATTGTATAACATGTCTTTCATTATTAGCAACGAGGAATATGAAGTAAAACAAGAATAATGTATTATATTCAAATAACTTAAAGTAGTATTTTCTCATTTCTTTTTCTCATATTCTTACATTTCTTTGTATTTATTCACAGAATAACCAAACGGAGGAGACTAATTCTGGGAGATTTGACATTTCTCTTTAAAAGACGTTGTTTCATCAGACTTGGCCAGATTCCTTTCTCCGGATTTAGCCCACACCCTCCCCCCAGGATGGTCACTAGTGAGATGTCTGCACCGTGGAGTCTCTGTAACCCAGGCACTGACTTGGCAGAGCACGCTGCCCTTTAGTGAGAAACCAGAGGATGCAGGTCCTAGGCGTGAGTCAAAGGATCAAGCAAGTGCCTTCCACGTGGTGTCTCAGCTTCCCATCGGGAACACATCTCACAGCTGAGGCCAAGCTGTAAGTGCTCGGCTAGTGCTGGGCATGCAACCAGTCCCCAGTGCCACACTTAGTCACTCAGCCGTGAGAGCACTCCCATGTGCGCCACGCGGAGACACAGCCACGCCCAACCAGGTGGCCATGTTGCGACTTCCTCCCTCTCTGAGATTTTTATGAGGCTCATTTTACTCTGGTTTCCAATATAAAAATAGAACAGAAGAGACGGGAAGAACAGAATATAGTAGGATTGACCTAAGGCACTATCTTTAATTTGCCTCATAAAAATAACGGAGATAAAGTGAGATGTAGGGGACGAAAAAGGACTTTATAAAAAGAAAAAGGAGAATTGAATTGCAGGCAGCATCATTATCATTTTATCTCTCAGGCAACTCAGTCCAAACACCTGATGCTGCTGTTTAATATCAGGGCTCACACTGAAACCGGTTTGGCTCAGTGGATAGAGCATCGGCCTGTGGACTGAGGGGTCCCAGGTTCGATTCCGGTCAAGGGCATGTACCTGGGTTGCGGGCACATCCCCAGTGGGAGGTGTGCAGGAGGCAGCTGATCGATGTTTCTCTCTCATCGATGTTTCTAACTCTCTATCTCTCTCCCTTTCTGTAAAAAATCAATAAAATATATTTTTAAAAAAATATCAGGGCTCAGGAAAGTAAGTCCCAGGGACATAAATTCGTACTAAAAATCATACATCAGGAAAAATAAACACCCTAAAATGCATTCATTTATCTTTATTTCCTAAAGTTTTTATGATGAACATACATTACTAATGTAAAAAACAGTCTCTAAAAATCTTTAACTTTTGACATAAGTCACAAAGTGATACAAAATATATCACAAATGCTTTTGAAATATATATGCAAGTTAAAGTACACCATGTTAGTCAACGTCAAAGGGAAGGGAATCCATGCTATGGGTAAGTTATCAATAACTTTTAAATAGTTAGATATACAGAACAAATTTTTGGTTAAGTCTATGTAATAACTGCTGGTTTTTAAACAGAAAAGAATGTCTGAACACACCCAAACCAATTCTATTTCAGAGCATTTTTGTACAATCTTGTCATACTGTGTTAGATACAGACAGCCATGTGCTGAAAACATGGAAATAACTATGTTTTTATAAGAATTTCGATTTTATAATTTCTACTACTAGATATCTAAAAAATAGACTTACATAATATAAAAAAAATCTCACTTTGCTATTTGTCTAGGAAAAGTATGTGCAAAAAAAAAAAAAAGTCAACACAGCCCTAACCGGTTTGGCTCAGTGGATAGAGCTTCAGTGGACTCAAGGGTCCCGGGTTCGATTCCGGTCAAGGGCATGTACCTTGGTTGTGGGCACGTCCCCAGTGGGGAGTGTGCAGGAGGCAGCTGATCGATGTTTCTCTCTCATCGATGTTTCTAACTCTTTATCCCTTTCCCTTCCTCTCTGTAAAAAATCAATAAAATATATTTTTTAAAAAAGTCAACACAGCATTTCAGATGTAACAGCAATTCGGAAGCGGCACCTGTAAAACACTGTTAGGGGCAGCGGCTCTGGGTCCTCTCCCTTCAACACGTACCCGGCTCCTCGGCTGCAGCTCCGCTTCCCTGGGGACCCTCCGACACCGCTGACTGCGCAAAGCTCTCCCTCCCCAGGGCCGTCTCCGCAGCTGCTGTCTACAGTGAGACACAGAACAAAACAAAAAGACACAGTTGGGGAAACGATCGCAGTAACATGGAAAGGTGAAAGACACTTATTTTCTATAAGAGTTCATACTATAGACGCATGACACAACATTTTCCCTCTAAATACTTCCAAAGAAACAATCCCTTACCTTAGATTTGGATAAAAGAGGACTGTAGGGAAAGAAGAGAGAAAAGAAAGAGTTAAAAAAAATGACAGCGGTAATATGCTTCCAAACAAATGTCACTGAAATGCTGTAAAAAAGTGACAGCTCCTCAGGGTTCTGACATTAGCACCAGACATTCCCACTGCGGACAGCAGCGCTGGCTCTCACAGCGCAGAGGCGGCGACAGCCTGTTCATCTCCTCCAAGGCTAATTACTCCTGAAGCCTCCCAAATAAACTACAAATGCTGAGATGCAGGAAAAAAACTAGTTCCATGCGAAGGACAGGGAAAGTGTCTGTACTGAATATTTCGAAACAAATCTCCTATTTGCTTTTAAAAATTCCATTAATTTAAAACTCTGGGAAGTTGAAAGGTAACATATTTAACAGGCTAAGAAATTAGGTTATAGTGCAAAATCCCATAATATTTGGTTTCAAAGGTTCAAAATGACCAACACAAGAAAACTGTCACCGTGAGAGTTGAATAAGTTATCACTTCTGAATCTAGACTCATTCTGCACCAGTTTAATCATGACCATGCCCCTCAGCTTTTGAATTCTAAGTCTTAAAATACGAATTAAAAACATATTTAAGTGCTTTATTATTACTGTAATTTAGCTTTAAAGATCCAATTCTTCGATAAAAATCAAGCAATTAAAAATTATCTGGTAAGTGTAATTTCCCTTCTGCATTATTTTGCTTAAATATTGTATTGTATTTGTTTCCATTAACAGACTACTCTTTAAAAAATATGTTTTTTACTATAATTTACAAATATTGGCCAACAGTCCTAATACACAATTTTTCCATCTGAATTGCCTAATCTCTTAACCAATAAGAGATAAAAAGTAGAAGTTATATTTAAAAATTTCTAGTTAAAAAAAGGGGGACACATGTAATACTTTCAACAACAAAAATTCCTAATTAAAAAGTACTTTGAACCTCTGTAAAGTTGACCTTTCACTGAGCTTGGTGTAAGAAACAGATAAAAGCTGAGAAAGAAACCTAATCATTTTATTTTACCCAGTTTAAATTCTCCAGTTGAAAGCATTAACAAAACAAATACAGAAATGGATCTTGTATTTCAAATATTCAATGCTACAATGGTTCTTCAATATTCCAATCCAAGCTCATTCTAACCAAACACTGAAATACTTACTCTTGATGTGTTGCGCAAAATTTGGTAAGCCGTTCAAAATCTTCACCATTAAATCCCTTTTCTGAATTCCTTGGAGACGTGGCTGCACGTGGCTGTACAGTTTTCCATTTTGTTTCTAAATTTAAAATATTTGTTAGTCACTGACTATTACAAATCATATTTAGGAGGGAACATAGTTAACTGGCACACTTATAAAGATTAGCATGCAAAATTATCTTCTCCAAAAACCCATAAGTTAATATCGTTAGAAACAGCTAAGTGATTACTTTTCAATGTAAGTAAATAGTATCTCAGACTAAATTAGCCAGTAGGACATACAAAGGGATCAGAAGAAATGCAAATAGTGGCAGGAGTTCCCTCCGTGGCATTGATATGAAGAACAAAATACAAAGAGAGATTTTCTCACAATGACATTGTTTGTGGTGAAATGCTACTTTCTCTGCAACAGCAACATGAGTGTAGAAACATATCTTTACTGATTTACAAAACCCAGTCAAATGTGTTAACTTCGTAGATAGCAACTTGTTAAATTGCTGATAATTCCACATTCTGCTATGTACTCACCCCATTGTTCTTGAATAGCAGAAAGATTGGCAAGCAATCGCTCATGATACAGTCGTTCAAGCTGAATGAATTTCATTGCTTTCTCATCTGAAGAGAAAACTTGAGGAAAATAGAAATCCAGGCTATTTACATGTAGCCACATAGTTGAAGAATAATGTCCTATATAAAGTGTGAAACTTGAAGCTTATCGAAAAAAATAAGAGGACTCTAAATATTTTTTAGTTTAAACATAAGTAAGGTTTCTTGGTTTTGAAGTAGGTACATTTTAATGCAGCATATTATGCAATAGCTACTTGGGCTCCATTCTATCAGCAAACAGTAGAAACTAAAAGAAAATGTTAATGCTCAGGAATGCCTGTTTGCTAATCTATCGCTAGCCGTCAATTAAATTTAATTTAATTGGAAACGGGACTCCCACAGACTCCTGGAATCTGTTTCCCTCTTTCCTCTCCTTAAATTACTTTCTGTCGAGCAATTGCTACCCTCTCGCCTGTCAACCTGTTTCTGATTTCCCTCACCTTAACCCTTAACTTCTCACTGAATACTTTTCTCTCACAAAACCAAAGGGTTACCCGCTAAGCGAGGACAGAGCCAAACATATGAATCTTCCGTAAAAATTTAACTAACCTGCCACAGTAATTTTCATAATTATGTGAAATTCTGCAGATTTTCTGATAAACTTCTGCCATCTCCATCTGCATCACACATTTAGCATCATGTGAGGTCGTGGTGAGCTGCCCAACTGCCTGCCTTCCTTTGGGCCATGTCCTAGATGCTGAGCCAGGAGGAAGGACGAGGAACGCTCACTGTCTAGCTGTTTGTCCTTCTCAAGATCACTGAGAGGTCTGCTTCTTATTTGTAGCCTTAAAAATATGCCAGGGGTCATAAACTAGGCCAGGGAGAAGCTGGGACAAGTAAGTCAGCTTTCCTCTGCCCATGACTTACAGTCTACGGATTTTTTTTACTTAACTCAGTGGTTCTCAACCTTCTGGCCCTTTAAATACAGTTCCTCATGTTGTGACCCAACCATAATATTATTTTTGTTGCTACTTCATAACTGTAATGTTGCTACTGTTATGAATCGTAATGTAAATATCTGATATGCAGGATGGTCTTAGGCGACCCCTGTGAAAGAGTCGTTCGACCGCCAAAGGGGTCGCGACCCACAGGTTGAGAACCGCTGACTTAACTGAACATAATCTGAAAAATTTGCTGAAATACAGATTCATGGGTCTGATCGCCAGTTCTGATTCTAAGGCCCATGAACTTGCATTTCTAAGAAACTCCCAGAGATGTTGATGCTGGTCAGCCCTGCACTACACCATACTCTACTTTAGTTAAAAAAACATGCCCTGACCGGTTTGGCTCAGTGGATAGAGCGTCGGCCTGCGGACTGAAGGGTCCCAGATTCGATTCCGGTCAAGGGCATGTACCTGGGTTGCGGGCACATCCCCAGTAGGTGGCGTGCATGAGGCAGCTGATCGATGTTTCTCTCTCATCGATGTTTCTAACTCACTCTCTTTCCCCCCCCCTCCTTTTCTGAAAAAAAAAAAAAAAAAAAAAAATCAATAAAATATATTTTTTTAAAAAACAAACAAAAAAACCCAAGTGTTCTAGCTTCATTTCCGCCACAAGTGGATTTTCTACAGACTCTGTGATAAACTGTGACTGTCTGATAGTGTTACCAGCTGGCTTGGTAGCGTTCAGGGGCAACTACCTATCCCTCAATCCGCTCAGGGGTGTGGTGGAAGTCAACCAGGTTAGGAGGAAAAACTGCACGAATGGGGAAAACATGTTTCTGAGACAGCCTTTCCAGAGAGTACATACTGGGCCATCCCTCAAAAAGAAGAGTGGTTTTTAAAAAGGGAAATTGGAAAACTGAGGGAGGAATCTTTCCCATATAAAATTTAACATACAATCTCACTTGACAACGTTTATTATGAATGAAAAATGAAATCTTTCCTTTGCAGATGTGTGACAGTTGCGAGATTTACTATGTGCAATAGGCTTGCCAGGCTCTATTATATAAATACTAGTTGACTTGTAACTCTGCTTAATTCAAAAGGAAGAAAATCCAATGGATTTTAAAATTATATTTTTCAGCAATGTGCTTCTCCTCCTCCCCCCAACCCCCCAAAACAAACAAATACTTAGATTCTGGTAAAATTAGAACTGCCTGGCCAGTGTGATTGAGCGTCGGCCTATGAACCAGAAGGTCACGGTTCGATTCCCAATCAGGGCACATGCTCAGGTTGCGGGCTCGATCCCCAGTGTGAGGCATGTAGGAGGCAGCTGATCAAGGATTCTCTCTCATCCTTGATGTTTCTTTATCTCTTTTTCCTTCCTTTCTGAAATTAATAAAAAATATACTTAAAAAAATTAGGGCTCATTTATTGAGTTAGTCCTAGAGAATTTTCTGGAGTGATAGAGAGTCCCCACATCTTGCTTTCTGAGGTGATTACATGGGTGCATGCAACCATTAAAGCTTATTAAAAATAACATATCTATACATTTTCTTGTATGTAAAACTCAAGTTTTTAAAATGTACAGTTTTCTAAGAGTTCTATGAATTCCTTCCTGTAATTAAGAAAAGGATACAGTCCTCGTCCTGGAAATAGGACTCTGCTATCTGTTAAAAATAAAAAACAAGACATTAAGTTAATATTCGGATGAAATGACAAATTTGGAAGAAATCACAACCTTGAAATGCTGAAAGCCTTTAATAATATCAAACTAAGAGAACTATTTATCTACATTTACCAGTTCAGGAGAAATCTGACTGCAGGCACAGAACACACTGCTGAAGTCACTTACATCAAGCAAAGCAAACAGGACATTCTTTGGTCTTTATACAAACTCATTCTTCCTATTCTATTTCCAGCCAAAGCAAACTTCACTGATTCATTAGAGTTTACAAGTAAGAACTCTAAAGAATGAGGAAAATACTTCAGAGGCTTAAAAAGATATGACATGTGTAAAAGAATGACTTTGTTTACTGTCAATTAAAAAGTTGACATATGTCACATCACATGAGACCTCACAACCCCATTCCTTTCATTTCTGTTTCACAAACCACCTCAGGGGACACTCACGTTTGTTGTTCTGATTACAGAAAAGGCGGCCACGTGCTCGGAGTTGAGCAATGAGGCCTGGAAGCTACACAAAGTGCTGTACAGTGTAAAGGGCACTGGATGGAGTGTCCAGAGTGCCAGGGTCTGGTTCCTGGTGAGGCCTGTCAGTTACCATATTAATTCTAAGGCGCCTTTAAATTTAAACAGTCTTGGATTCTAAAAACTTAAATCTTTTATTTAGACCTTTATTTATAAATATAACCATAAAACAATATTTTTTGAGAAATACCTGCCTAAACTGCTGTCGTATTTGGGATGTTTCCTATAAGCACTTTACACTTCTAACACAATGTCTCATTGCAGCTGTACCTCCATGCTCCAGGTAGCTGCCAATGTCAACAGCAATAGGCTAGCTGTCAAGCCTATAAACCAACAGTGAAAAGGAGTGGTTTCTCCAAATCCCACAGTGGAAACACGGTGCTTTTAAAGGAAAATATTTACCTAACTTAAAATGTATTCTATACACATAACCCTCTCCCATAAGCAATAGAGAGTCACCTTTCTGTAAATATTTAGTTCAACCTGAAGTTTGATTCCATACTTATTTTCTACTCTTAGGACTTCACAAAGGAACAATTGATTTTCAAGATCCTGCATGTCTTTGATCAGCTCATTGTTCTAATAGTATGATATCACAGTGTTAGTTTGAACCATATCAAATTGTCAATATTCAACCATTTTTTTGCCTTCAAATGAGAATTCCATATACTGCAACCAAACGTTTAATAATCGGCTGCAGAGTGTTGGGGAGAGCCCTGATGGCAGTGTTTGCTCATTTTTGTGATGTCAATCCTGCCATCATGGCCGACTTCAAGCTGCCAACATGACGGATGTCACTGCATACGGTTCTCATGAGCTGGCGTGTTAACAGGTCTCGCACACCCTGCGTTACACCCAATAGAGATCAGTGACCACATTTCACCCACAAACTCCCAGTGAAAAATCTATGGCACGGCACAGATTTCCCTGCCATATGTGACACGAGACATGGTTGCCCATCAGGACTGCTGTCTGCTCTTCAGAGCGACTCTCCTGGCCTTTGTGCACGTGTGCATCATTGGCGTAGTTGTGTATAAATCGCTCTCGCTTAAGAAGTATTGATGGAACCCATACCAATCCTGACCCACATTTCCTGGCACTAGAGAAACATAGATTTCAGTTAGCTTTCAGATTTCTGGCAGTTTCAATACCACAAAAGCAACCACGAAGACAGACTCATGAAAACCCATGCCTCTAAAGCAAGAGGTATTTCTGGGTGAAAGGACGGCGTGAAAAACAAATACACAGGGTGCTTCCCCTATGAAAGCCTAGCCTGCCAAGCCCAGCAGGGCAAGAGAAGGTGTGATTTTTCTCTGAGGTCCCATGTGTCTAAATCGGGGAGAACTTGGGGGTCAGAGTAAATAACGTGACTGCATTGTAGTCCAGCTCTGTCATTACCAGCTGTGACCTTGGATACGTCATTTCATGTCTCAAATCTATACTAATAATAGAGGATTATGCAAATTGTCCAGTACACCATCACAGTAACAGTAATGACTGAACAGCAGGCTGTGTGGGGCGACCAGGCCAGCAGGGGGGTTAGTGAGGGACGACCAAACGACTGAACAGCAGGCTGTGTGGGGCGACCAGGGTGGTGGGGGCAGGT